CGGGGGGCCCCCCCCCCCCCCCCCCTTTAATATTGAATAAAGACATAGCAATGTAATCACAATAAAAACTGTGTGAAACGTTGTTTCTGTCCGGCGAAAATGCCACTGTGGTCACATGCACATTTCATCGGAAAGAATGTGATTGTCAATCTTCGTATGCGTCATGTTGTCAGCAAAGCTCATCGAGTCCAAAATTTGCTGTGAAATCGTAACCTAACCTGCGTGAGTCATAATTCATGATGCTAACATCATGCAGAATGGTGGATGCAAACAGTCAAAGTCGTTCTTTTGAGAGTTGATTTCACTGATTTGAGTGAATGTATTTTTGGCGTTCCAAAAAAAGTGTTGTACTTTGAATTTAGATTATTCAAATATTTGCCAATCGGATTTCTGGGTATGTTGGGTGTTTTTGTCCCGTAAAATATAATACGTATTCTAATAATAAAATAGTAAACAGACCATAGTCTTACTCTTGCGAAACATTGCCATCTAGAGGCGTGAAAGCGCAATTGCGGTCTTTTAAGATGCAAACTGTTATATACAGTACTGGCTCGTGAACTACAAACGACAAAATCAAGCTGTATTTCGTAGTTTTAAATCTGGATTTTAAAGTATTTACACGTTATTTGTATGTTTTGAACCTTTATTCACCCAACCCACTAGCTGTCAACTTACCGTGGTGGAGGGATTTCCGTGATCCCTGCCCTCCCCGGCAGGGCCACCCTTGGCAAGCAGGGCCGAGGTGAGGCACCAGGCAAAGCATGGCTCAGAAATGCCTTATGACGATGAAAAACAGTGGTTCACGTTTTCCCATGCCTGGATGCGATGAGGTTGGAACAATATAAAACCAAAGTCTCCAGAAGTATGTCTTTATTATTTTTTATTATTTATTCTTCTAAATACTAAGCTACCATTCAACAAAATTGAATCCATCAACTTGAAAGGTAGCATGAATCAAAATGGCATTTATATATCTGATATCCACTCAACTGCATGTCATGCAAAAAGATCAAAATTGATTCTATCCGGTAATCAACCGTTTACAGTATCATGAGGTGGAAATTAACATTGAGAGCATCAACATACTGGTCATTTTAAGTATGAAATAAACATCTTGCAAAAAAAAACAAAAAAAAAACATCTGCATTCTTCATCTCACGTAATAAGACTGAACAGTCTAAAGTGGCCCAAGCGTATGATGCGCTAATACACCACCAAACATCACTGTTTGTTTCATTCGGACCCACCCTCTCGATAACGTCGCAGTCATGATGAAATTCAAACCCTTCCGAAGAGAAATGGAAGCGACGGTGTTTTCATGTTCACCTCCTTGGGTTTGAATCTCCCCTTCGAGCCGTGATTTTATGTTGCCATTGTTTGGGACTCAGCCGGCATGCTGCTGTCAAAGGCAAAGCTTCCTTTGCTGTACAGTAACGTCCGTGCGCTCACGAATTGTCTGCGGGCACATGCTCAAAGCCCTCGCTCTCCCTCACCAAGGCCCTCTCCAGGATGACTCGACCCTCCTTGTAGCGTTGGCTTTCCTCGGTGGCAAATTCATACATCCAGCCCAGCTTGCTGTTGCAGTTTTTGCAGCAGACATCACGCACCATGTGTCGTCCCGTCAGCATGACCCTGTCTTGAACCTCGCTGTGCTGCAGATTTACAACCTGGTTGAGAGAGCAGGAAATGTTCAATTGGTTTCATTACCTCTGTGACATTTATTAGTGTACGTACGTTAGGTGTAGGTACGTTCAAAACAATCAGACAGTATCTCTGCCTTGAGTCCACAAGGGAAGTTGAATAAGAGTACCTTGTTGAACAAAAAGGCCCGGCCAGTAGCGCCAGTGAAGCGAGTGGAGATTAGTTCTGCTCTGTTGGTCAGAATAGTGTCACAGTTGGCGCAGGAGAACAGACGAATGCCTCCAATGTGGTCCAAGAAGATGCGCCCCATCGTGCTCACCGGTGACTATCTTCAGTCAACAAAAAGGGCAGATAAGATGGTGCAAAAACACGCACACGACCCTCTCATGCTTCATACAATAAATCACAAATTTATTGAGTGACAAGTTTCTAAACGGACAGTGGTTCTAGTTCAGAGATGTGCGAAGACTGAGATTAATCAGAGCCCGCAGCATCCTTGACGACAACTGAGGGCATTACGTTGCTGTCCGAATAAATACACAAAACAAAAAGCACGCGACACTGTTTATCTAAATGTTTACATCGTCAAATAAGAACAGGGGGAAACATTTCCTACCTCCCTTGAGTCGATGCAAGATATTTAGGGAAGAGAGACGTCTGAGTAAGATTGCGTTCACACGATTTCTCAAACGTTTCCTTGCGAGATGGTTGTCAACAAAACCGACGTAGACGACGCAAGCAGTCGCAAGGGCGTTTGTTGACGTCCTCTGTCTTCTTCTTCTTGACTTCCGGAAGACCGTGGACATTTAGTGCATTGCTGCCCCCTCCTGGTTAAATTATGAACAGCTCTTACGGAGCCCAATTGGCGCCCTGGGGAGACAAACACTCCGTGACTGTAGGAACTTTGTGTTTTTTCAGACTATATTATTAAACACTGACGATAGAAATCACATCTACTGTCCTTTAGCCTTGCAAACAGACAAGATAGTCGAGCATCACTTGCATAAGTGATGACACCATAAAGATGAGCAAATTATTTTATAGCAGTATTTGAATGCAGACAATTGTGATTGTGTAATTTGCTTGAATCCAGAGGGTCACCACACACGTGCATTCACCTATGAAACAGGTTCCTTTCTAAAATATTAACTACTTGAACCTTCCGCCTTTGAGAGTAGCTGACGGCAATCAAAAATGCACAGAACGTGAAAGAAAGTCTGCTGTAATCTAACGTGACGGCGTCAAGTGATGTGGAGAGATAGCGAATAATAAAGATAATACTTTTTTTTCACTTTTGCCCCATGGCACGATGTGAGGAAGTGAACACTCAAGGTCAAACAGTCAGCAGTTAAAGTGGCAAGACAGCAGTCCAGATCAAGACACAGCCTCACAGCTACAAGTTCTGACCATCAATACTGGCATTCTTAAGAGCTTGTTGCTTTTGTATAACCTTTCAACATGACACAATGACACAAAAGACAAGTCAATTTTCCACATCATGCCCCCTTTAAATCTTTCCTTTGCGGCTATTTTGGAGGACTTTAAATGCAATGTGATCTTCTAATCTCAGGAAGCAAAAAGTAAAAATGCAGAAAAAAACATTCTTTTGTTGCTCTTAACCGAACACAAAGTTAGCTACTAATGAGTACACAGTTTTACCTCTGATTTTCCCACTGTATTTGTGACGGTCTTGCGACACGGAGACGGAAATGAGATACCACAATTGTAATCATTGATGCATTTGGTGATGAGTCAACTTTCACTATTGATGGATTTAATGTTTTCGGGAGGGCCTTGGAAGAGTTATTGTTTCACTTCACTTCAATCATGTCCTTTGAACAAGTGAGTCCGGCCCGCCCCCTTGGACATATTTATGAGACCCACCATCGACTATATGGTCAGGTACAACTGATAATAATAGACATTAGAGCACCGAAACAACCGCCTGACACAGTCAGCCCAGGAGAAGGACTTCGGGGGAGACGATCCTTACGAATAATTTCTGGCAAAGAAAAATTGGGATTTTTTTTTGTTTTGTTTTGTTTTTCTTTGGATGAAGATGATTCAACTGTTGGTTGTAGCCACCTTCCTCAAGTTCTCCTGGGCAACAGGTCACTTGGTGTTTTGGTATATGATACATATGATGTATATATGACATGATATAGTGTTGACTCGCTACTTCGAGATTTTCTATTTTATAAAAATCCTTGGAACAGAAAAGATACATATATATATATATATATATATATATATATATATATATATATATACACACACACACACATACACACACGTGTGAAATCTCTGCTGTTTTTTGTTGGGGTTTTTTTTAGTGAATGGGCTGCCTTGTGATCCGATGCTCCACTCTCAGGAGCCCCCAATGAATGGTATTAAGAGCACGTTATGAAATAATACTGTCTTTAATACGGGCATCATCAAATGTGATTTTGTGTCTTCAGTTAACAGAGTGAAGCCCGCAGACATTGCGGTTTTAGCCTCTATTGGAGTGCATACGCACAGGTGACCTGTTTTTTATTATTATTATTATTTTTTTAGCATCACTATTTTGTTGACGTGCATAATACAATATGTATTTTTTTTCCTCCCCACAGCACTGAGTTGTCCACTGTGGCATCAAGACTTCAAGGTGCATTTTCAACACTTCCTTGCGTTCAATGAAATGTGCACATTTTAACAACTCATTCGAACATTTGTCCTGAGAATGAACAGCGGTTAACCATTGTGCCTCATGACACCAACACAAGACTTAAAAAAAGACTTAATGAATGAAACAGAATACATTTTGATGAAAGTGTCTCCCCTCCTCCCCACCACCAGAACTGATGAGCATGTTCAATCCTGCACTTACGGGTCCTCGTTTGGAAGATGCACTCACGAGCGCCCCTCACTTCGGAAGAGACGGGTGAACAGAATGCTCGAAAATCGAATGACAGTATCTCAAACCGAGGTTGCTTTCAATTTCACGTTGAAATGTTCCGCTTGTAGCACGCTGCTGGAGCAAGCAGAAGAGGCTTCTCTCTACCTCCAAAGCCATCCGGTATGCTGGCGATCCTGTCGATTCACATTTCATACCACGTCTTTGTCTTTGAGATGACACCTGTTGTTCCGTGTCAGTTACGTTTGAGCTCCATCCTGATGATTTCCGTTTCAGAATTCTTGGAAGCTGCTGCTGCTTTTTGTGCAAGTGGACCAGTTCTGTGCCTGTGACCAGCAGGAGGTAAAGCGCGCACCCACAGGTGTTAACGTGCATTCAAAAGGCCACCTATTTCCAAGATAGTCATTTTCCCAATTGGATATTCATGCATTTGCACCAATACACACTTTGACCGTCTCCACGGTAGAGTTGACAATCTTCGGAGACACGAAGCGAAGCGCGCTATAAAAAGCACGGCGCGTGGCGATGAGTGCCCAAGAGATAAAGAAAAGGTTCACGGCGTCCCTGTTCACGTTGCGCTTGTCCCTGCAGGCCGAGGCCGTTATCAGATCGGCGAGCGGGGAGGTGGACGCTGCTTTACAGCTGCTGCATGCTCAGGTTGAGTTCACGCCATATCGACCGATCTCAGGCTATCGACAATCTCACATTTGATCTCTCGATTTGTTTGACGGTCCGATTGTGCCGCAGCTGAAGCGGACTCTGGTCAGTGTTGCGTTATGGGCTGGAGAGAGCGACACTTCCCAAAGCAGGTAGATGATTGAAATTCAGGATCTGGCAAAAGTGGGCCCGATTCTCACATTTCACGGGACAACACTGAACAAATGGCACTTTTTAACAATTCTCTCATTCATACACTCGCATTTGGTGACTGGATTTGTTTTTTTTTCGTGAAAGGTTCTGCCCATGCTCGGAACGAAATCAAGGCGGAGAGGTCAGACTTGTGAAAGCCACGCTGACTCATGCCTTGCAGGTTGGTCGCTGCCGTTTGCATTCCTCTCCGTTTCGCTCTTTAATTTCAACATGATGACGTTGGCAACTGGGGAGGGTCCTCCAGGTGGCTGACAAAGAGGAGGGATGTGACAGCATCGCGGCGGTTAAACCGAATACTCATTTTATTAGTACCGACACGCAACGTTGCCCCGTCGGGCGTCGCCACGGCAAATGATGCGCTCGATATGTTTCAGGCATCTTTGAATGAGCTTTTGAGGAAGAGAAACTGGTCCAAAGACGACTTCAGTGTCATCCTGCAGGACGAACCTCTCGTCAGACACTTCGCTTCCGATAACGTGAGTCTTCCACGGTGACTTAAGAGCTTCTCGTTCGCTTTCGGCATGAGTGCCAAGTAGTAAGCGAGTGACACAACGTTCATCGCTGTCCTCTCCGCGCAGACTGGGAAGCCTGTCTCCGGGTCACGAGCGTCACATGAGACGGATAAACTGATGGCGCGGTTGTGGAGCAACCTGGTGAGGGCCACGGCGAGTTTCGGCAACACGCTCCTTCCATGCGGCCACGCTCGGCCATTGTTGTGTGAAAATGTGCCTTTCAGCTGCAGCCCGCAAGTGACAAACATGACGCAGACGACGATGGGAACAACCTTGCATTGCAATGTCCAACCGTGGTGCGTACGCGACACATTCGGGTTCTCTACTTCGGCCTGCTGAGCATTTTTAGCTGTTTTTGTTTCCCCTTGGATAGCTAAAAATGTTCGTTTTTTTTTTTTTTAGGTAATTAAGAGATGATGATGATGATATTGGTAAAATACATTTCAAATTGTTGGTTACTTAATGACAGTTTCATTATGATGAGTTGAAAACAGAATGAATTATGATTGATTTGACATCTTTGATTATTTTTGAAACCTCATTCACGTTTGACCTGGCTCATCTGTCTGTTTTTGGGCCTTGAAAAAAAAAAACATGACTCACTCTGACAGATTTGCACATTCTGAGTGATTCTGATGATAGTCGTCCCTTTCTCCATCCTCCTTCTCCACCCCCGTTAAAGGACCGTCCCTTCCTGAGGACGGAGGGAAACTCTCCTTCAAATCACGGCAGCGACCCTTCTCCTGTCCTCTCCCGTGTAAGTTGTCTTCTGTGTCACCCGAAGCCCAAATGGGAGCTTTCGGGTCGGCGCCGTGCGCCTCTTGTTTCCTTCTCATTCTGGATGTGCTGTGTGGGCCCGCGCAGAACGTCGGCACAGCCATGCGCTGCGAGGACATCGGCCCTTCCGACTCTACGCCCGCCTCTGGTAAGCGGCCAAAGCGTGACTTTAAAAAATATCGATTTGATAATCTACAAAAGTAGAATTTGTACATCAATCCGCTTCATCAACTTGTCAGCAGTTTACGGCCGGGCTCAAATCCCCGACACGTGCGCCGCGCGGTTGATAAATGCCACATGTTGCACTTTTGTGTTTTTATCAGTGCACGAGCTGAGGCCAGGCGATATCAGCGTGGTCGCTGCGGTGGGAGACTCGCTGACAGTGAGTGAACCCGATTGTGGCTTCGTACTTGACAATCGGTGACTGAACAAGAACACGACTGTGACGAGTTGTGTTAAGTGGCGGGGGAAGAAAAATTGGGTTTTTTTTTTTTTTTTTTTTTTTAGAGAATCACTAATTAGACTATTTTAAGGAAACAGTGTCGGCTCATTTTTGAAAGACTCAACTATACATTTATAACAATTGATATGCCGTCGAGAGGATGGCGTGGAACAAATTGTCGAAATGTAAAATACAATAAAACTTTTTTTTGTTCTTCAAATTGACGCTGTTTGACAGTGTCGTGTCACTATCTTATATCATTTGCACCTTTTAAAACTTTTGAAAAATGAAGCTAGGAGTATGCTTGTTAATGAGTGCCATCTGTTATGAATGGAAAAAAAAATGAACGAGTTAAGTGTAGCCTTCTACTCTTTTTAATCCTTTTTTTTTTTTTTTGGGTGCAAGGCAGGGAACGGGATTGCATCCAGCCAAACAAACATTCTGGACGTCCTGACCCAGTACAGAGGTTTATCTTGGAGGTGCCTGACACTTTGCTGTGTTTTATTTTTTTAATTCACATTTTTAGGCTTGAAATGAACATATTTCAATGTTTTGTCCAGTGTCGGCGGAGATGAAAACCTCACAACTGTAACAACTCTGCCCAGTGAGTCCGTTTATGATTCTGAACGTTTTTTTTTTTCAAAACTTGCACTGGAGATCAAGCTGCATTCAAACTATTTTGTTCGGTTCTAATAGATATATTAAAGCATTTTAACGCTAACGTGACGGGTTACTCCGTCGGGAGGGGGAAACAACACACGCCTCAGGCTTTTCTCAACCAGGCTGTGGCTGGAGCAAAAAGCAAGTGAGTCCTCCCCGATACCGGTTGGCTGGCGAGACAGTTTTTCATTTCGTTATTTGCATTCAACAAGGAAATATACAAATAAATAATTGCATTCTCGGGGATTTTTGTGTGTGTGTTAAATAGGGACATCCCATCTCAGGTGCGAGCCCTCGTGGCGAGGATGAAGAATGACTCGGTAAGTACACGCGTCTGTTGCCCAAATGAAACTCATCAAAACGAAACTTTCTCCTGCACAAATTTTACATTGCAGAGTTAAATCTAGTCCGAGGAAAAACAAAAAATGAACGCCGCTCTGTTATAATTGACATGATAATTCCTCACCAACTGTATTTCTCATCTGCTAAAACATGTACCGAATGACTTCTGCCCTCCACGCAGAGCATCAATTTCAAATCCGACTGGAAAGTGATCACGGTGTTTATCGGTGGCAATGACGTCTGCGACCACTGCTACAATTCTGTGAGTGCCTGCTGTCGAAGTAGTCAAAGCGCGGAACGGCGGTGCCACTGCCTCACTCTTGCCCTTTTACAGCTCTTCTACTCGGTGGAGAATTATATCAAAAATGTCCGAGAAAGCCTGGATTATCTACACAAAGAGGTAACAAGTAGACACACCGTCGCCGCGGTTTCCCCGCGTGGGTTTAACCAAGAGCCTCTCCGCCAGGTGCCCCGAGCGCTCGTCAACTTGATCGAGCCCCTGCATATTATCCCCTTGAGAGAAATGCATTTGGACGCCACGTTGAAATGCCCCACCTGGCTCGTCAAGTGAGTATCGCATCCCAACGGCGTCGAGACAGATGTTGGGATACTTGAGCCCAAACAGAAATGGATCACACAGGAATGCGAGAGCCGCTTACGATCTAGCGTTGGTCCAGTGTCCATCTTGTCACACATCTCGGGAGGGTTTGAAAGCCTCCAACAAATTCCAAAAACCCCCCAAAACCTACTGAATAATTAAAAAAAAAACAACATTATAGTATTACTTGTAATTTTATGTGGGTTTTCTGTCCTTCTGCAGTATTTTGTGCCCTTGTGTTATCTTACCAAAGTCCACCTCGACCTCACTGGAAAAATTAGAGCAGCTAAACCGACAATATCAGGTAAGGTGGGGCAGGAATTCAAACGGTGACGTTCAAGGATGCCGCAAAGCGACGCGACTGAACGGTCACACTGACCTCTGACCCGCAGCTGATGATCAACCAACTGGTCGAGTCCAAGCGCTACGACACTCGGCCCGACTTCACTGTGGTCGTCCAGCCTTTTTTCAGAGAAATCATCGTTCCCAGACTACCGGTCAGTCAGTGCTGCCAAGTAAAATCGGTTTCTTTTGATTTTGATTGATTCCTTTTAACTCCAGTCCACTAGGTGGCAGTAATTAACATTGAAAACCGTGCCGTTGTTTTTGTTTGATGTGGTGGGTTACAGCCTCCTTTGCCCCCCCCAATGCAAGCAAACTAAAAATGGCAACTAAACATGGTTGTGTTCAACCAACAACTTGAACTCCACACAGCAACGCAAACAATCGTAGTTACGCTTACTTTGCTTCTGTCCCAGGACGGCCACCCCGATCGCTCTTACTTCAGTGCCGACTGTTTCCACCTGAGCCAGAAGGCCCACACTCAGATGGCTCGCTCCTTGTGGAACAACATGGTAGCAGGCAAACGCACCACACGCACATTTCAACCCATTTCGCACTGCACTCAATTTGTGTTTGCACAGAATGTTTTTTATGACAGCAACGCTGACATGTTTGGATGGTTATCGTTCGTCCCTCTCTCGGTCTGTCTTTTCAGCTCGAGCCTCTCGGAAACAAAACGTCCTGGCAGGATTTTGGCACCGACATTCAACTGAAATGTCCCTCAAAGGTAGGACGGACAGTTGAAGGAGTGTTTCAAAGGAACGCCTCGTGAAAGGCAGAATCATTGAATGTTCTTTAAATTGGACATGAGACACTTTTTTTGGGTGACACCTTTACGCCACGGTGTGGCCATGAGATTTATTTTGTCATGTGCCTTGTTTCAATGGAGGCTGGGATATGTCGACTTCCATAACTAAACGACCGAAACTAAGCGATGAGCTGCGTTGGACAGTGACTACAGTAACAAATGAAATGGATTCATTCACTGTCCTTCAGGTCCTTCTCGTGACACGTGACACATTTTGCGATGCTCAAAATCATTCCGTTTGTTTGTTGACAGACGTCCCCGTTCATCCGCACCTATCACAACAGCAATTACACATACGGTCCTCCTCCACCAATACCGCCGCCAAATACAGTAAGTATGTTAACTGTATATTTGACTTTAATAAATCGAACAGAAAACACAAAATGGTGCTTTTTGAAAAAAATAAAATACCTGTCTATGAATAATAAGTGTCGCATCGTCTGCAGAACTGGGGAAGCGACTTCTCCTGCGTGGACCTTGCTCCTTCTCACTCTGTGCCAACATCGGGTGAGCTCTACGCCGGAAAAATCATATCAACGCGCAAATCATATGCAAGAATCATTTCACCGTTACCTGGAAGGAGACTTAAAGAGTTCACAACATTTTGTTCCTACGTTGACAGTTCACGAGCTCAGGCCAGCGGACGTCAAGGTGGTGGCGGCGGTCGGAGACTCCGTCACGGTCGGTGGCCTGACTACTTTGGATTTTCGATCGAAAGAACACACTGATGACTTATCGGTATATCTGCACAGGCTGGCACTGGCGCTAAAGCAAAGAATCTTTTGGAGCTCAGTCGAGAATATAAAGGCGTGTCTTGGAGGTACGGTAAACTGAAGCAAAAACAATGATCGACCGCCAGGCGGACAACTCACGACGAATTCCGCTTGTTCGTTTGTTCTTGACTCCGCAGCGTTGGGGGAGACCGAGCTCTGGAAACTGTTACGACCCTACCAAGTAGGTTGATCACCAGACTATAAGGACTGGCACTAGAGCCCGACCTTCCGCTGCAAGATGGATGGAGGGATTTTTCAAATCATCACCCTTGCTCAAATCATAATGTCATAATTTGTTGTCTACATCCTCACAGACATCCTAAGAAAGTTCAACTCGGCTCTGAAGGGCTTCTCGAAAGGTCAGGGGTCAAGACAGAAGGGCTTCAACATGGCTGCGGGAGGAGCCAAGACCTCGTACGTGCTAACCTTGACTTGTCACTGCCGTTAACCGAGTCCAACGTGCAACTTTGTTACTTTGCACGTCTCTGCGTAAAAGCGGTTAATGATGTCTTGCGAAGGGATGGATTAAAAAATAAAAATACACTTCTCAAAATGTGATCAGACTAAAGAGTTCCATTGTACCTTTAGGCTTGGAGCCGTCTTGCATTATTTTTGCATCTGCTCTGTCACAGGGACATCCAAAACCAAATCCAGGCTCTCATCAAGGCCATGCGAGAACACAAGGTCACAACGCTAACAAACAATATTTGTGGGGGGAAATGACCTGTGCCACTACTGCACCGATCAAGTAAGTGTAAAACCTCACGAGATTTTTTTTTTTTTTTTTAAACGGCAGCTGTGCTAATATATGCCATTTTTCCGTTTAATCACCGAGGCATCAGCCATTCCAACAAGTGCTGATGCAACTCACACTTTATGTTTTCTGCAGAGAAATCTGTCACCCGGTAATTACTGCCACTACTGCACCGATCAAGTCAGTGTAAAACCTCACGAGATTTTTTTTTTTTTTTTTTAAACGGCAGCTGTGCTAATATACTCCATTTTTCAGTTTAATCACCGAGGCATCAGCCACTCCAACATGTGCTGATGCAACTCACACTTTGTGTTTTCTGCAGAGCAATCTGTCACCCGGTAATTATAGTCGCAATCTGATGCTGGCGTTAGACACACTTTACCAAGAGGTGAGTTGCGTTCATATGACAAGTCCGCTCATCCGCTGTTCCCGGGTGTTTTAAAAACGGGCCTGCTTTTTATGCGCGCGCAGGTACCCAGGCTGTTGGTCAATCTCGTGGAGATCATGCAGATCGACACGCTAAAACAAGTCACAAAAAACACTCTGGGATGCTCCTTGCTTCAGAGGTTTGTTTTGAAAACGGCCGATTTCCTTTTATTGAGCAGCAAAGAGAGCGTTTGTTTTTTTTTTCTTCCTATGCAGAACGAGCTGTCCGTGTATTATCAACCCAACCGAAAAATCGCCAGAGATGGAGGAAATGAAACAAATCAATCTGGAATACCAGGTAAATAAACACTATTTTTTTTCCTTTGTAAAAAAAAAAAAAAATCAATAAAAGTGAAATAAAATTTGCATCATTGGAACCCCCCTTGCCCTCCTCACAGGCTGAAATCCATCATCTTATTTCTGGATCTCGTTATGATGGGAAAGAAGACTTTGCTGTTGTTCTTCAGCCATTTTTACACAATTCCTTCATCCCTTATATCGGCGTAAGTAAATTGAATGCGGGCAAACAATGACAAAAAAATCCATCCGAATTGTAAGCGTGGGCGTTGTTGGTCAAGGAAGGGGAGGCGGACACCACTTTCTTCTCGGTGGACTGTTTTCACATCAGTGAGCGAGCTCACGCCGAGATGGCCATTGCACTGTGGAATAATATGGTGCGTAGTACTCCACTCATCAAGCTTCCTTTCCATTATTTTGTTGTGAATTCGATTTTTTCTTTTTTAACAGTTGGAGCCCGTAGGCAGGAAACAAGCTTATAACAACTTCACCTATGACCGCTCCAAGATTCAGTGTCCTACTGAGGTACGGTATGAGTACAAAGAGCGCTGATCATTTTTGCATGACTTTAGGTCGTGTCAATTCTGCTATCAGCAGCTGGTCGCGAGATAAGAACGACAAAATACTTTGATTAGATCACATCACACGTAATCGGAAAAGGCATGAGGTAATAATAAAAAGCGGATAAGGCAATACAAGTCAATTGTAAAAGTCCATATACAGTATTCAAAATGGTTGCGCCTTGTGTATCGTGCGCTATACCGGCAACGGATTACGTAATAGAAAATGGAGATGAAGACTTTCGGGAGAAGAGAAAAAATTTGCGAACTAAATAGAATCAAATGAAGAGTGCTTCAAAAAATGTTTAAACTAAGTGAAATAACTCATTTTTTAAAAGATGTAATGTTGTCCTTCGTAAAAATGAAGTCAACGCATAATTCAATAGACTGCAGAGAATTGTTTTAAAACAATCCGTGCATCATGCTTTCATTCTAAAGTATATAGACCAATGAGAATCGTTATGCTATCGATCTAAATGTGCTGCTGAACCATTTGTGTTCAAATATGCGTCACTTCTAAAGCTATGACGATCAACGCTAAACCTTGTCAATGCCGTTTGTTAGCATTAAGCTAAGCGGACTTCCCGAAGGCAAATTTACACTATGTGCTTGTTTTAAATACATGTGTGAAAAGTGTAATGCTTTATGTTTTGACAGTAAAATTACAAAAGGGAGTGGCGTTAAAAACAGCTCAGGGCCTCATTTTAATGAATCGTTCAATATTTGCCATTTACCGACTTAAATAAATTGAAGCGAGTTTGCTGTGAAGGCGGTCAAAACACGTTGCCGCTGGATATATACCGCCTATGTGGTGCCTACTAGCAATCAATCACTCACTTACTCAATCAATTATCTTGCCCCGTTTAAAGGCCATTTGCAATTCACTGAATTAATGTGACATTTTCCCAATGACATGTTGAATGCCATTTTCAACAGGCCAGTCCCTTCATCTTCACCAAAGTCAACAGTGCGCCTCGTCCACTTTGGACAACCACGACCGCCTCCCCCACCTCGGCATCATCGAGCAGTACGACAAACGCGTCGGCGCACCCGTGCGCGCCCTCCCAGCCGCTGTGGGTTCCACTGGTCGTGGGAGTCGTTAGTTTACTGGTGGGCATCGCCACCGCCTGGTTCGTGTGCTCTTTCGTGCTACAGAAGAGAAGCAAGGGAGAGTTCTCGGGAGATACGAAAGCAACGGGATTGTAATGCGTTTATCGGGTATGAGATTGTCTCAATCCAAGCGTGCCTCACAACTGGATGGAACCAGGCACGACATCAACACGCCAGTTAGATTTTGTCAAGCCCTCCAGCCCCCACCCACACGAAGTCGAGCTCTCTCCTGCTGTATTTTCAATTTTGAAGCAACGACTTCGCAAACAACTGAGCTCATCAGGTATGCAGCAACAACGATCCTTTTTCAGTTCAGTCATCCCAAAATTTGTACTCATCTATCGAAGCCAGTGACATGTAGTGACAGCCAGAAGGTGTCATGAAGCTGCGTGTTCACCTGTTGTCGTTACTCATACAAAAGAATACCAACTAAACAGGCCCAGCTGTCATGGATTCCATTTTTTTTTTTTTTTTGTGAGCAAATTGAGATCATCATTATTTCCCTCGTGTGCCATGAGATATTTCAAATGTAAGAGTTGTGCCTTGGAACACTGTTTTGCAATACTTTGTCTCCAACATTTTTTTTTAAACTTCTCATTAGTGGTAAAATTATATATATATATATATATATATATATATGATAATATTGAAATCTTTTGTAAGTATATATTTCCTTAATTTCTTATTGATTTGAATACAGTACAACTAAATGTTTTCTTGTATTATTTTGTATTTTTAAATGTATTAACATAAGGACTATACAACATGTAAATTATTGTTTTGGGGGTTTTTTGGTACCAATGCTTTACTGTACAAAACTTGGGAGACATTCATTTTGTAAAAATTCGCAGGTGTCTTAAAACCATTTAAAGCTTTCATTAATGTTATGTGGGTTGCGTATATGAAGGAACAGACACACAGGAAAATATTCAAGAACACAGCGTTACAAAAATTGAGAGGAACTATTTACTCATGCAAACTAAGCTCACAGTTAACTCTCTACTCTGCATTAAACACAAAATACATATTAGAGAGTAACAACTTACTTCTGGATGTGCTCGGCGTGGCCCTCATTTTTCCTTTTATGTCTTGATAAAACTCACCGTGCTGTCAAAGCACTACGTGTGATTGATGACATGAGTGCGTGCGATGTACATGACACGACAGATGAGCGTCAGTCGGATTTGAGGGCGAGCAGCACCGACTGAGGCACTCTGCTGACATAGTACTCATGGTTTCTGAGCGTTGCGAGCACCCCAGCGGAGTTCACGCGCTTCACATCGGCGTCATAGCGATATGGATTATTATGCACGTCCGTCAGTTTACCTGGTGGACCCCAAAAAAAAGAAAACACATATTGAAGTGAAGTCGATGAGTGCTGCTGAATGAATGAAGTGCTGAATGTAAAGTGACGTTTCATACCTCCAACGCAGTGCAGAAGAACTTCGGGAGCACAAGTGTCCCACTTCTTGGTTCCCGGACTTGCAAAGACGTAAGCGGACGCCTTGCCTTCAACAAGCTGGATGATCTGCAGACAAGATCACACCGTCACGGAATGTAATCGGAGTTCGTCGACTCATTTGTAATTACTGATGACAAAAAATGTTTTGCTTTGCAATGAAATGAGAACTTCAAAGTCAACTTTAGAGCTTCTACCGGATTGACTGTAGCGCCGAAAAATGAAAGCCATCTTACCTTGTTCCCTGCACCGCCCACTCTTAAAACCTCCTGAGGTTCCATCGCATTGACGCAGTCGGTTATAAGCTTGCTGCTATGTGAGCGGGTGGTGGTCACAATGATTTTGTTGTCGGGAACTTCTTGCAGCTGAAATCCAAAGGCACCCAGCCCCAGCATCGCCCACATGGTTCTTCCTAAACGCGCCCCTGGCCCGAGCTGACAAGAGACAAGCGTCTTGAGTGAAGCGTCGCCAAAGGAGAGAAGGGCGACAGTTTACAAGAGGAGAAGCTAGACTGTTTAGTTTGCTCTGGACCTGGTAGTTGTAGAAAGGCTGGTTGATGACACCTGCGATTGCTCGGCCCGCGTAGGCAATTCCAATCAGCACTGTCACATTATCCAAGAGACCTCGAGTACACAACAGTGCAGTGATAAGTGACAATTTAAACTGTAAATAATGAACATTTTATTAATCACAAATTAATGATAGCCAAGAACAACCAAAAATGTGAATTTAAAAACCAAATGTTTTCACGACACACACGCATTTAAGTCAGGGTTTGGTGCTGTACTACCAATAAATTAAGTTAGAGCATTCGTATAAAGTGGACTCACCTTCAGTGTACTCCTTTGTGCCATCCACTGGGTCCACCCAGACAACCAGCTAACATTTTGAGAAGACAGAAATGGGGGTGGGGGGGAATACGTTATGTCCGCTAGATGTACCAATTTTAATATATACCACAAGGGCCACAGGTCGTGTATTTAGACAATGGCCAAGTTATAAAAACACTTCACAGAAAATGGAGTTATGCTGTTCTTTCGGTGATGAGCAGTGTGGTGGGACGATTACTTCACTTATCAAAACTGATTTTTTTTTAACAATCTGGCTTATACAGCTTGCAAGTCACAATCATGGTGGAAAAAGTTTTGAAATGATTGATCACAACAGTTGAGCTGTGTTCGGTCGCGGCGCTTGGTGTGCATCAGGTTTTCAAATGTGAACAAAATGCACAATTTGTCTCCTTTACAAATAGTTCGTTTTACAATTATGACTCTGTTCGAATACATTTAAGCCCCTTCAAACCCATTGTGATGGTGTAGAAAGGCAACATCACAAACACTATCCATTTCCGAATACCTCTAGGCCTAACTGTACATTTAAATACTAACCCAGCCACAAGTAGTCCATGAAAAAGTTCTGGTTCTTACCTCCTCCTCTTTCAATCCACTATATTCGGATGGACAGACTTTCTGAAGGATTTCTTCTGCCTCCCCGTTTTCAATTAGGTCCTCTGTAATCTCCTCAGATGGGAGTTCCTGCAAAGAGTCATATGAAAAATGGTTATAGATCCATCCATTGTCTTATAGAGCTTAACTTTAATTGTGTGGTGGGTGAGCTGGAGTTTATTACAGCTGACCAGGTGAGACGCGGGGTACATTCACTCTGGACTGAGCACCAGGGCATCGTTCACACTTACATGTTTATGGAATTTGGAGATACTTGGGAGACATATGTGCAAAGCCGTAGGGCACATAAAGGAAGAGCACTCACCTCCTCGGCGATGATAGTGATCTTCGGGAAGCGTCTGGACAGTGAGGCACAGATGCTCCGCTGTGCAAGTCTGTCCGCAAGTGTCTGCAGATCATGGGCCCCCTCCTGCATGCAACGGGGACATATTAGTCTCATTTTGCACAGACTTGTGGATGAATCCCTCACCTTCTCCACAATGCCGAGGTCTCCACGGTTAAGCACTTTCCTCACGATGTCACCAGCTTTCTCAGCCACAGTGTAAGCCGAGGCCACTAAGCGAAGTACCACAGCAGGACTCCCAGACATTGCTGGAGGAGCAAGACACTCAAATGACTGAACTATACAAATGTACTCATACTTAAACAATACTAAAGGTTGGGTGGCCATACCGAATTAAACGTCACATATAATATAATTTAGCAAAACACACACGCTTTAAAATTATCTAGGTGCGGAAGTGACATAACATTTCAAACAGACAGGCAAGAGATCCAACAAACGAGTCGACTGAGTTGTTAACTTGAAGGGGAAGCTCGAATGCAATTTGCATTTGCTGTGGAAACACTCGCGCAAGAATACAGTGGCAAAGTTTTGAGGAATACTTACTGGTGTGGGCGTAAGCACAACAAACACCTTGCAATTGTGATCAAGTCTTGTACATGAATTAGAAATGCAGCCAGAAACACCTCGAGTCCAAAGAGCGGACAGTGAGTGACAAGATAGTTCCTCCCAGGCGAAGACAATTCGAACGCACTCCACGACAAGGGGGTGCTCTGTGTAATTAAAAAAAAAAAAAAAAGTACTTAAAATCACAACTAACCACCACTTTGGTCCCGTTAACACATTAATACGTATGAGCGCGTGAATGTTAGCCCAGCTCCCGTTCAACGCGGATAATCGTGATTGTAGAGCAGTGGGAAGGAACTGGTAACTCTCTTGTTTTAAACAAGCGTCTGGTTACGTGAAAATGCGACACTGCCCCCTAGTGGACATTTGATGAACGTCGATTCGCCAATTACAGATGTGCAAAAGTGTTTCGTATCTTCTGTAAGATCCCAGATGATTTTCAAGAGGCAGAGTACACCCTGGATTGATCGCCAATCGCAGGACAGAGGAAAAACGTGTCTTCAATTGACCCAATGTTCCTGGAATGTGAGCCCAAATTGGAACCGAGAACATCTCCAGTCGGAGGCACGACACTGTGCCTCAAGCCACATTAAATTGCCATTTTAAAAGACTACTTTCAGAAAAAGTTTTTCCAGATAACCGCAAATCATGTGAAACACTAATGCAAATAACTGTCAATAGACAAATCACATTTAATGACATCAAATACATTGTAATGACAATTCAAGTCAAGATACAAGTGCAATTTATATGCATTTCATCTGTTTGCAAGGGGTCTGTAGCCCATCTCCGCCTCCAACTGCTCCGCGGTGAGAGCGCCTAGCAGTGGTTGACAGTCCGGGTTGAAGACGGAATAAGCACTCATCTCCCCAGGCTCACGATCATCCGGGTCACGCAGTCCCTCGTACAGCCAGTAGAAGAGGGAGACGATGAAGAAGGGCAAGCCGAATTCCAGCTCCATGAAAAAGCTGAGCAGGACCACCCAGAGCAGGACTTTGAGCAGGGTGATGTTGGAAAGGTCATATCTTGTGGACAGCCATCTCCCCCACGAGCTGTCCAACATCCAGTCGCGACCGGCCTGTGGGAACACAAGAATCCTCTAATTTTAGCCTCTCAAAAAGTAAATATTCTGATGTCTGTTGTCCTTCATGAAGGCTGACGGGTGATCTTCCGTGTTTCATCAATGTAAGAGATTTGCTTTGTCCATTTCAAACAATGTGCTGTTCTCTGATAAAATAACTGACCAATTAATCGATTATTTAAAAAAACTGTTACTTGCCACCCTAGCTTGTTTAGATTTGGGACGCTAAGTACATCCAAGGTCTGCACCCAGTCGTCATGGCAACGAATTGAGTCCGGAGGTCAGCAAGACAAAATACAGGATACGTAGGTGAACTACAGTTCTTTGTCCTTGGTGTATTTTGACAAAAGCACAACACAATCCTGCTTTTAAGACACTTGGGAAATGATTAACATTGTGAAAATGCAAAATACGTCTCATTATATTGAATTTGTGATAAGCTTCTTGGACTACTTGAAACACCTGAAAAACACAATGCATAAGATGTAAAGGGACGGCATTCACCTCTGTTGAGGGGCCCAATCCTGAATTTTGCTCATTCAGCGGAAGGCTTGAAGGCGCTTCCACGATAGTTGTGGGAACAGTGGCGACTACCTGCTCGCGACCGGAAGCCCTTTTAGCCTGTCGCCGAGCCCTGAAATCTGCAAGCCTCCGCTCCATTTGGGGGGGAAAACGTGTCACAATGTGTCAGCAGCCGCTCAAGCTTGATCCATCCAGCACATCGACACCTCCAACGTTCAGAAAGGTGCTTTGACTACCACGTATCCACGTTTTAGTGACATTTCCGTGTCACCACTTTGACGTTTACTTTTGCCAGCGCGTCTGCCTGAAAGCAAAACTTAGTGTCGCAAAACGCCTGTCGCGAATCTGCGGTCTGTGCACCAAGCTTTTTGGCTTGCTTGCTTGTTTGTTTTCATCGTGGTGGTAAGTTGGTATGAATGCTACATTTGTAGTTGTTTGTTTGAATCAATACGGCTGTATGGTCAACTCATACGTTGTTAGAAGAGGGCAAGGTTAAGGAGACATCGTCGAGGCATCAACTCAAACCACACCTAATTCATCCTGTTGTCATGATTATTTGACACCATTTGCTTTACAAACATCCATGTTACACATTGGCTTTAGTTGGCGTTGGTCTGACGTTTTGATAGTCTTTCAATTTAAGCATATTACACTACTGATGTGACGTTTCCACAGAACAGATGACGAACTCGGTATCGTCGTTAACCTTGTGTTATCGACAGAATTCAATCAACCTTGCCCTCACTGCCCCTAACTTTAACATTGGATTATTAGGTGCACAATTCAATATAATAGACCAATGTCGTGTGTTCTGTCGCTAGTGTCTTTACAGGCATGGCCTCTGCACCAGCACAGCAGCCCAACCTGACTGTAGAGCAGACCAGAGGTAACATTTACATAATGCATACTAAATTAACAACGAAAAGGAATGATTATTTCGGGTTGAAACAATATAGCTTCAGCTACTTTTTCAGATAGTTTTGGCGTTCCACCCCCCCCCCCCAAAGTAGGCCAATGGGAGCAAAACCAAGAGTGTGTGAAATCAGTACTACTCAGAATTTTTCAAACGGAGTTACTGAAATAAATGCACCTCTCTGTATTGTACTTTTGTGGTACACCTGTACTGTATATGCATCGTAAGGTCAGATGTGTGTTTGTGTGTGTCTCAGTGGTACTCAGTGAGGTGATCCAGGCCTTCTCTGTGCCGGAAAACGCAGTGAGGATGGAGGAGGCGCGGGAGAGCGCGTGCAACGACATGGGCAAGATGCTCCAACTTGTGCTCCCTGTGGCCACACTGATTCAACAGGAAGTCATCAAAGCGTACGGCTTTAACAATGAAGGAGAGGGTGAGATCAATTCAAAATAGTCGAACACACATGACAGCCAGCACCCGAGTAGTTAGGCCCAATATGTGAGCTTAAATAGATGAACATTGTGGAATGCTGCGGATCAGTCAAGAAATATAGGAGGTAAATATGTAAAATATCTCAAAATTTGGGAATTTCATGAAATTGTGTTCATGTTTGAACGGTTGCATTTGGTGGATTGGTTGTGCAATTTGGAAGGAATAGAATGTCCAAAAATGGTTTTAATCACATGCCTGCTTATCCTTAAAGGTGTCCTGAAGTTTGCCAGGTTGGTCAAGATGTACGAAACACAGGACCCCGAAATAGCCGCCATGTCAGCCAAACTCAAGTCTCTCCTCCTGCCACCTCTGTCAACACCACCCATAGGGGGAGCAATTCCAGCCTCATGAAATAGAATACAGTAAACTCCTCTAAAACGAAACCTACATGGGCGAAAATACCCCCTAATGTGAAAAAATTCTTCACGCATTAACACCATTCCCATTCTCCTGCCCCCCATACAACAGAAAAACCCCTGTTGCGTTATACAAAATCATTTTCTCTGCTCCAGCCTCGAATACATTCACCTAGCAAAATAAAATAATTATCCAAGAAATTGATGTAAGTGAAAGTGAATGCTGATCGTAAATTTCGCAATTTCTTTCCCTTTCTTTCTTTCTACACTGACAATATGAAGTGTCAAATAAGTGTGTGCTCATACTTATGCACTATTGGAATAAAAATAGAGTACACATACATTTGTATGTTTGTGTACACATACATTTGTGTGTGTGTGCTTACATCTGAGATCAAATTTGCTACAGTGAAAAACCCCCTGTTGTGAAAAATTTCTTGCTGCAAACATGATTTCGTTGTAGAGGAGTTTCACTGTAAACCAAAGGCTATGTTCAGACTGCAGGCAAATGTGACCAAAATCCTTTTTTTTTTTTTTTTTTGGAAATACGAGGCCCGTATCAGCATCTGCCGCCCTACTTCTTTCAGTGCTACGTTGTGAGTGATGTCTTTGCAGCGCATGCGGGTCACTTTGGGGATGCATTGGGTTCACACACCAGAGACTGAGGTCACATTTAATACGCAATGATTACACAGAAAAACCCGAATTGAACATTTAAGACCTTCAGTCTGAATGTAGCCTCAATGGGTTGTCCACGAGATGAGTGTTCCCATCTTTGAAAGGCTTCACATCAACATCATGTTTAAAAAAAAAAAAACTTCCATTGTCATTTCATGTACTTTTTTTTTTTTTTTTACGTAAGCGGGTTTTTGTTGAATTAAAAAAACATGCCCATTAACTCAATTTCCACATGGTTTTGTATACTGAATGCAAATAAATTCCATCGTTTGGTGTATTCTTGGAGAAGTTTCCTTGTAAAGACACTCACAACTGAATGTGTCTGTGTCAAAGTTTCTTTTTCCTCCTTTCAACCTCAAACAGTACACAGTTTTCGAAACTGCAAAATAATCTGCCAATTCCAAAATTTCACATGACCAACGTTTTATTTTCAATGTAGAACTTTTTTTTTAGTTGTCAAATTAGGACTAGGTTAGGTTCACCTAATTGAGTTTTAAAACTGTCAATTTTATGCCGAGGGTCAATGGACCACACCAAAAGGTATCATATCTGACATAGTGGAAGCAATGTTGGCTCTCTCAAGTCCATATTTAGTTTTAGCAGTGGAACAGCATCACTGAGCAGCTTAAACATATCTTTATTAATGCATTACGTTTTCAGGGAACAACAACGAGACCAAACCCCCCCCCCCCAAAAAAAACCCTGACCTAATGCACACTTTCCTAATATACTCCTTAGACAGATGGGATTAAAAAATATATACATATTTGAATGTGACCATTACAGTAGGCAACGCTTTACGACCAAGATAAACAACACTTCAGTGCCTCTATTCCTTAATGGTCTCTTTTAAAGTGCTCATTTTTTTCCCAAAAGAAATGTAGTGCAAACCAGTGATTCAAAGCCCACCCAAGCAAACATGAAAGGAGTTACAGTGCAGGTGATTGGTCAGTTAGATTCATGGGGTTTCTCGTCTTGGGAAAAAAAATAATAAAATACGAAGAAGAATAAATGTGGTTTATATTGAGAGCAACAAACCTGGCTGCTTTTCTTACCCGGTGTGAGCAACATTACGAGGAAAAGATCAAATTAAACACCGTCTTCCTTCTTCTACTGGTGAAGTGTGTGGCTCCATAAAACGATGTATTTGAGTCATGTTGCTGTCACGTAGTCAACGCTTTGGGTGGTTGGTACCTCCATCTCAAAGTGATGAAATATGCTTTCGACATAACACAGGACTTTGTGCCAGTCAGGACCATCCTCCTTCAGCATCTCTTCCACCGACTGATGCGCGGTCACCATGAAAGAGTCCAAACAAACACAACATTAGCTACTGGAATTACTGGACATGGTTGGAGACTAGACATGGGCCAAAAAAAAGGGATATGAATTATTAAAAGTTGACAGAACGACTAGGTTACTTATAGTTGAGGTTACCAAAAATGGGTTAAAATATAAAATAGTTGAAACTGGATTGAAGAATGTACCGAACACCACCGCACCTGTTGTCGACAGTCACTACGGTGTATATCCCATGAAAGGATTGTAGAATTTCCTTCCGCTATTATATATTCATCATTGCTTCCGAGAAGTATTCAAACATTTTATGTTGCAACCTCGTACGAATATAGAATGGGGCGCGTCGGTGCACGGCCATTTTCACATCTCTTCAGAGATATTCAATCAGATTCAAGTCTGGGCTCTGGCTGGGCCCCTCCAGATCATTCACAGTTATCCTGCTGTACGTCTTTGTCTAGAATGAAACATATTTCACAAGGTTTATGCGAATAAAACCTCACCAGAGTGGCTGCGATCCCAACAGACTCTCCTGTCCTAAAAGCAAGGTCCAAATTTTCCTTCTTGGAGGCGGCGGGTCGGACAAGAAAAGCACCATTTTCAAATTGTTACGTCTTGTTGTCATTCTATTGCTTTCTTTCATGTCGCCTACCTTCGCCGCTGGGTTGAGGCTGTTGTAAGGGATGAGAGTAGGCAGATATTTATGATATAAGGCGCAGAAGGCCAATCCATTCTCCCAACAGGTGCTGAAGTTCGTGATCTCAATGTACTGTGACCAAAATGTTCAAATGGTCATCCTTCGTTTGTACTGTTAACGCCACCAGATTGTTATTTGACAAGATAAAAGTGTGCACTCCCGAACCCGATAGCCTTCTGTGTGACTTTGACACTGGTTCAGGAGGGTCTTTCTTCTGGCGCTGCTGTGACCCCGTAGCGGAGCACGAGATCCATCCGGAGGTCTGCAAATTGTGTCATCGTGTCAACGCGTGTCACCTTTGCGATACATACCACTCAATTTAATAGCCTGTCGGACATTCATTGATGGATGATTATTCTCTTTGTTTGAGAGAAAAGGTGAAGTGTGTTTTTATTTGCGACATTACAGATACGGTGGTGCCTTGAGCATCTCCGTCACTTTAGGAAGTGTCACCGGATTTTAGAGTGGGAGAATGACATTTGGGTATTTGTATTTCTGCCAAACGTTAAGCGTTAAGTAAAATCTGACCGGGTCAGCATTTATTTTGAGGATTTATTGAAAAAGCAAACAAAAAAAATCAGTACTCACTTGATCATATCTGATGGCGGGTCTTCATGTTGCTTTCCTAAAACATACAAAAAAACAATCCATGTCACACAAACTGCACAGTGAAAGAGGACACATTTTGTCACACCAGTCCTAGAACTTTCTAACACACCCTGTACTAATAAAACACATTTGTTTTTGCTTGTATTCAAATAGTCGGGTCTTTGGGGCACATGGATATATTACCCAGGAGTGGCTTTGTACATGCAGCATCCATTTGCAGTTTGGAGGCATAGGAGTGAACATCTGTTCTGGACAAAGGCTCCGAATCTCCAGAAGTCTCCACTATGACTGTAACAGGTTGCTAGATTCATTACTCATGTTTTTTTGACAATTAGTTATTAGTTGGAAAGAGAGAGAGAGAAAAAAAGGACATCAATTACCCGTGTGACAACTTGACCAGCTGTCCTGGCGCTTTAAAATGTGAGACATTTTCCTCCCTCGCATTGGCTCTTCTTTCTGCCAATTATAAAATTAAAATGAAATTAACTGGTAGCAACACGGTCTGATTTTTCAGTCGAATATGTTCTGTATCAACCGAATGTGCTGTACCTTTGATTGTGGCAACGTTGAGCTTGTTTTCAGCGAGTTGTTGTGACAGGAGCCAATAGGTAATGGGATACGGGACAAACTCCTGTGGGAGAAAAGCTTCCAAATGTTAGACTTGTACAAGGAACCCCCTGATGGGCAGCGGGGTTGTGGCGGGAGCTCTAATGTGGACTTACAAAGATCGTTCAGATGACATCACAATCCTCCTCGGATCACGGCCTCCTCCGTTTTTCTTCTCCAGCGCATCCACGTATACCTTCCCTATGCCCTTGGCTGTCAGCTGTGAGCTTGCAGATCTTTTTGTGTCCTTCTCTTCGTAAGCTTCATGCTCGTCTTGTTTTTCAACACTGTCCATGTCAACTTCCTCCATGAAGTAGTGCATTTTCATCTCCTGACCCTCCGCAGGGTTACTTTTGTCTTCTGTGAATCTTCCATCCATTTTCTGCTGCTGCTTCTTCTTTTCGAGCGAAGACAGTCGAAAGCACACGTCCGTGTGTTGGGACCGCAGACATTCCAGCTCCCGCTGCGTCTCGAGCTGCCTTCCATGGGCCTGGGCCAGCTGCTCCTGCAAACTCTTGCAATCCTCCTCTAAGTCGCCGAGGGCTTGCTCCGATTCCGTACGCATCCTGTCGGCCGCAGAAACGGTCGCCAGCAGGTCCAACTGGAACTGCTGCCACTCCAACTTCTCGTTCTGATGCAGACGGCATAAGACAGACGTGTCATGATTTAAAAAAAAAAGCTTGTTGAGTATACTTACACCAGAGAGCTACAGTACGGCATCTCACATTGTCTGGCTTTACAATGACGAATACAACAGCACTCAGTAAAGCACTCAGCCTGTGCGCCACGCAAATTGACAAGTACACAAAATGCATTTTTTGCAAAATCCTATTTCATCAACTTGTGAGACTAGTGTGCCAGATAAAAGCAAGTGAATCTAAAACAAAAGATGCTATTGCCACAAGGCCTTACATGTGAAAAACTCAACACCACAAGATTTTGCTGGCTGAACTCACATTTAACGTCTCTCGCAGGCAGTTCACCTCCTCAGCTAGTTTGTCTCTCTCTGTTATCAGCTGTCTGACCAGCTCTGAGAGGATGGGGAAAATGTAAAACGAAAAAGTATCAGCATCACAAAAGCCCCTATGATATTTGCACTTCTGCATTTGCTGTTTTTGCACTCAGGTCAAAGCAATGGCTTCTTGTGTTCAGGAAGGCTGAAGTGAGTTGAAAAGTAGTGCTTTGCTGCCATCTTGTGGAATCTATGGGAAATTCTAAGAATTTTTCATTGAATTGACTTCAGCACATACACAAAACTGCCCCCCCCCCAAAAAAAAGTGCAACCAGCTTCAGCTCTTCAACCCACCCAAATTTAATATTCAACCCAATTTGATGGGTCAAAATAATTAACGCAACCTTGGGTAGAAGAAAGCCAATCTGGAAATATCCCCTGTAAGTGAGTGGGTTAGGAAAAGCCAGACTTTTTTTGGTGTTCAGGAAAGGAAATGTCATCAAATGAGCATCCCTAAAAGGAAACTGTAGACAGCTGCACATAGAAGATCCGGCATCAATGAAAACATGGCCTACCTACAGCTTCCGTGGTGGCATCCATGTTGAGGCTGAGGCCCAGCGAGTTGCGATGACGCTCCATCAGGCCGAGCAAGTCCCGGCTCAGCTCCTCCCCGGACCTCTCGGCCAAAGCCTGAGGCTCCAGCCCGCTGTCGCCCTCCTGCCAGCTCTGCTCCAAAGGCCATGCCCTGGACGTATGTAGCGATGTCAGGCTGCGCAGACTGACCTCCAGGGCCTCGTCTTGGCCACTCACATTCGGAGACTTGACAGTGTCTAAGCTTAAGATGGCCCATTCGGAGGGAGGAGACATCTCCTGCGACCAGTCTGTTACTGCCAGGGGGCTGTCGGTGGCTATTTCGAGCGAAGGCGTCTGTGTCCGGTGGGAGGAGCTTGTGGAGGATATGGCCATGGCCATGGACATGAGATCTGCCTCGGAGGGCATTGCGGGAGTTGGGAAGAAATCCAAAGGGGAACCTGGGTGCAGGAAAAGCAATCACTGTGAAAAGGTCTGAAGCAAAGTGAGGTTGTTTTGAACAATTTTTGTTTGTTTGTACAAAAGTGGCGGGCTGGGGGGGGGTTGTTGTACGGAGCCCAGATAAAACTGACCCAACAGTTTTTCGATTATACAGACACTCACTCTCTCCTGAACACTCTTTCTCTCTCTCTCTCACACACACACACACACACACACACACACACACACACACACACACACACACACACACACACACACACACACACACACAGGCATTGAGTGTGAACTCGTTTAAAAACACTGTGTAACAGCTAGTTTATCGTTTGGGGAGAAAATCGGACAAAGGATTGTGTGCTACTTTACTGTGGTGTACTATGCACCTGCTGAGGAGCGGTAGTTCATATTCCCCATTGTGAAACACGGCTTGAGGAAGATGTCTGCACAAGAGAGAACCAATCTAAAATGGAAAAACAAGAGTTTGAGCAGCGCACACACACGGACTGACTGCTGTTCTCTCAGGTAAAAACACGCTAGCTGTTCAGCAAATGCAAGACAAGATGTGCCATTGTTCATGGCATGGCAGCTCCTGTAGCTGCCGTTAAAGTAGACACGCCTGAAGCAAGTGTCAATCAATAATCTAATCAATTTACAATGTCCTTGATTGACCTCATCGTGTGACGTTGATGACATATTAAAGGCGATCACGTGCATCAGCTGCGATGACGCGCTGTTGTGTGAACGGCTCCCTTTGAATCCGATTTGGACTTTTGCAGAAAGCTTACATCAAGCGCAAACACTTGCTGGCTCCGGAGACCATAAACTTGTCGTTTCGACAACTCCAGAAGTCGATTAGAATGATTCAAGACGCCACAATGAGACTTTCGCACACGCGTACCTGGCAGCTGCAAGCGTTTCACTTCTTGGAGCGGCTCAGGCGAGCGTCCGAGCCTGCTGATCGTTTCCGCCCCCCTCCTCGGAATGCCACGTGAATGACGTGCGTCGTAGCTCGAACGTGCATAGAGCTTTATAGAGATGCCGGCGCCATCCTGAAGTTCATGCGGGCTCTCGTGAGCTGCACGATCCGCACCCCAACATTCTGCTGCTTCCTCGTCTTTGATGCGTCAAAACAGAGGGAGGAACTTTTCGCTCGTGCAGCAGCTACACAAGGAAATGCAAAGGAGTTAGGTCAAAGTTTTATGGTATAACTATTTGGCAAGTATGAATAAATAAATGCACACTATCGGATTTTTTTTCTTCACGTGTAACAAAACAACACCGAATAAGTAAAGAGACTGAACAACAATACAACGGTAAGCTTCTCGAAATGTACGAAACACATCCATCTAGAAAATTTATGCAGCGTTGGACTACGTGAGGCGCTCACGTAACAGCCGACAATGAAAATAAACCAATCGGAAGCCTGAAAAACGTCACTTCCGGAATTTTCTGGAACAAAAAGGTGAATGAAGGTAACAGGGTATTATATGGGTAGCCTGCTAGTGGGATGCTGTAACTCCTGAATATCGCACATGCATTAATATGAGACAAATCAACCAGTTAAGAAGTAGGTAAAAAGAGAAAAGAAAAAAAAGACGAATCCACAAATAACAATAAGCAGCAGAAGCTTGACCCAGAAATGGAATATTTGTGATGAGCTGATTGTGCCATGACCATAGAGACACCAGCGTTGAAATGTCAAAATTTGCAGAAGCACAAGAATGGAAGCTGCCAATTTTAGCCGGGCTAATTCATATAAGGCATAAAATGAGAAAAAAGACATGTTGGTAATTTATCAATTCATTCATTCAACAATCAGGAGCCATACACAGTCATGACAGCATGGCACCCTCCTCATCATGCTGCTCACCAACCTGGTCACATGCTGCAGAGTGATGCCATCCCATTCTTCAACCACAGTTTGTCAGCCAAAGTGCTTGTATGACAAGCGTTGCCATCTTGGAGGCTGGAGTTTAAAACAAGTATCACTGGCCACAACAAAATAAGTTATTTTATTTATTTCATTTTTTTTTTAACAGGTGCAATTAACACACTTAGCTGCTGCCTGGGGCTGGAGTGGGACTCATTTTCAGCTAAAAAAAAACAAAAAAACAATTCTATCATTATAAAACTGTACTGTATTTGTGTACAACTGCATTGCAACATTTGGACATGTTTGTAATATTTTGGTTTTCCAGTTTTGTTCAATGAGAGGCAAATATTGGAAACAATGCCACACAGAACACAACAACTACAAATAATTGCCACTATACTTATAAAAATACCACATAAGTAACATTTAATACAAATACAAAACAAATATGACATTAATAACTGGTCTCCAGAAGCATAACTCACAAATTTGTATTACATTTTAGGATTGTGCAAGGGTACATTATATATATTTCAAATACAGTTGATAGGAGTCCTAATTCACAGCAAAATGGCCATTTCCTATTGAGGGACATTTTAGCGCGTCAGAGTTCTCTATTAATAGAAGTAGCAAAGAAGTTGTGACTGCATCACAACATCCTCACAAGTGTGGTTGCAGACTTTGGGGCAGGGGGAGGGTTGTGGGAAAAAAATGGCGTCAGATGCGGTCGAGAGCGCAAAGCTTGGTACACAACATCTGGGCGAGCGCTGCACACGTCCATGCACGCGGATGCCTCGAGACCCCTCGGCACCTCCACGCAGACTCCGCGGCGCGGAATCACATGCACGTTCCCCACGGGGATAACTAACCTCATCGCAAACACAGCTCGGGGGTGATTGGAGGGGGAGACATGATCGCCGCTCGCCGGCAGTGGAAGAGCCTCGTGAGGAAGTGACCTTCGCCGTGAATGGAACATGTCAGCCATGAAGAAGGTAACGCGCGCGAAAACATGTTTTTGTTGTTGTTGCGGCCACGAGATCATGTGGGCATGTACACCAGTGAGGGGTGGGAAAAATAGAAAGTTGTGCAGAACCTCGATATGTCACTGCAAGGTGTGCGTTTGTGTTTATGGGTGTGCGTGCGTGCGTGTCTGAATAAATGGAAACCACTTCAATAACATCGAGTACCCTAGTACAGTATCTCCACTTTCGATGTTCCCACCTCAAGCCAATGTACAAAGGAGTGACTCAGCTGTATTGAACTAGTGTACATACGTCTTTGTGTCACAGGTGTTACCATGGTTACTAAAGACTCAGTGCTGCCTTTTCTTGGACAAAGATGCAGGTAAGATACTGTGATTCTTCGAGCAGGGTGACAGCAATGCGGTCGTGATTGATAAATGTGGACACAGATTCATTATGTACAGCATTTGGGAAAAGGGAATACGAAACATGACAAATAATGACGCGACTGGTCTAAGAATATCCACATTTTGAGGCAATCTCATATCCCGGTGCCAATCTGCTGTCTGTTTTTATTATCTAAAAATGGTCTCAGACAAATGCTGCTGATTCAAGTAACTGTGAATATATTTGGGATTTTTTAAAAAAAAATTTATGTGCACTTTGCATTTGTGTCCGTCTTTATGGATTGGAGCAGAAAGTTGAGTAACCTTTTCGCCCCTGAGGATATTCAGTCTTAAAATGAGTGGGATTTGCATCTATGTTGGCTTTGCAATTATTGCAAAAAGTGTCACATTTAACCATCGCTGTAATTGACGGTGCTCTCGACTCGCCTTTACGTGTATTCTTGTTGAACACCCTGCGCTATTAGTTCCTTCACCGCGCGCCAAGTGCATTATGGGAAAGTCTTAAACCCAGCCTGGCCCAAACAGGCCACGGCGAATCGATGACGCTGACCTCACTACAACTTGATGAGGGCGTTGGCTGTTGTGGTGCGCCAAGACGTTTGAGCTACAAAAAAAAAAAAAAAAAAAAAAAAAAAGGATGACTGATTTGTTCAACTCAGCAGAGGTCACAAAGGGTTCACGAGCATCAATAGAAACAAGGTGGGGGTGTCCTCCTTCTCTGGCTTCTTTTTGGGCAACAAAATTCTCGCTTACGTCAGCACGAAGCAAAGTTTACTAGCGCCAGATGCTCGCATACAAACAAGGTGGTCTTTTATCGCCATGCTTCCTACCAAGGGGTGCAGCTCAGATTGCTACAGGATGGTTTTGATCAGTGTTGAGCAGACTCTTCCATGTGTGCAAGTGGATGGTAATTGGTGTAAACAGCATGATTGTCATACCGGTGGAAAAACATGTACTGTAGCTTGCCAGTGAATGAAAGAGAAATGGTAAACGTGACGTGAATTTTTGGTCCAACTGTGCATCATAGATGAGTCGAGAGGTACTGTTGTGATTTTTTTTTTTTAATGACTTGCTTGTCGTAAGAGATGTGCCAAAAATATTAACATTATTGCTTAGAGTTAAAAAACTGTTCCAAAAACTATAGTTTTTGGGAACAATAAACCACAGCCAGGTGGCACCACTAGGTGGAAGTGTTTTCTCTAAGAACAGAGTAGCTGCCTTGACCAACCGAAGTATCATTTTTATCCACAGCTTCCAAAGCAGACACTTTAAATAACAATTAGCTCAAGTTGTAACAACATTTCAGTAAAGTGTATGTCAACAAGAAATATGTCAATGGCGAAAGATGCGAGAAGCGGCAGCATGGGAAGAGTTGCAGGCGCCATAATATGCAAACTTACCATATGCACATGGTTGTGTATGAATGTGTACGATTTTTTTGTTTTTTTTCCTTCCAAGAGGATGGCCACACCTGATATGTGTGCTCCACTCAGCGCCACCATAGTTCATCTAGTCATTGTTATGCCTTCAATATTCCCAGTCATTTTCCAAACTATAACTTTAAATTCCAGCCACTCTCACTTTTTCCCTGAATTCATCAGCCTCTTTTGTGCCCTGCAGCGCAGCCGAGCTTTTGGGGTCAAAAGACAATGTTAAAATGGAACAAATATCTTTTTGGATTGATTTTAGGCCATGAGCGCAGCTCATTGGCATTCTGATTGAGTGCAGGTAGCACTCAAGAGAAATGTGAGTGCAGTTCTTGAGAGAGAGAACAGTGCTGAGTGAACGTGTGTGTGTGTGTGTGTGTGTGTGTGTGTGTGTGTGTGTGTGTGTGTGTGTGTGTGTGTGTGGGAGGGGGTGGGGGGGTCATGTAAACAACAGCAGATCGAAGAAACAAGGACAACACAAGGCCGACAGAGAAATGGGAATTGATGATAAATGAAATCAATATTTGAAAGAAAAAAAAAAAGGAAATAAATCATGATTGGCAACATTTTCATCTTTCGAGAGTGTCAAATAATCAGATGAAGATGATGAACTTCAAGTGCATATGGTACATTTAAAGTCAACAATGTCTGGTGCTCATTTGAGATCCACGCCCACATTTTTTATGCGCACCCCTGTCAATAATCATGAATTTCTATTGTTTTGCTGTTATTTCACGCACGGAAGTGTGTTTTGGGTCCATGCAGCAATCACCCTTGATCTGGAGTGAATCAAAATGCAATTTCAGGTTGTTTGGCGTTCACAGTAACGTGTGCTGTAATGACGTTTTCTGCATGGAGTAACCGATGGTGCAGTGGTTTACTCGCCTGACTTCCGTGCAGGCACAGTGGGTTTCCGTTCCCACTCAGTGACGGTGTGAATGTGAGAGGTTCTCGCTCTCTTGATACATGTGTGCCATATCAATACTGGCTACCATTCTAGGGTGTAGTTTGTCTTTCGCTTAAAGGCAGCATGGATAGGCTCCAGCTCATAGAGACCCTGAACAAGAAAGTGAATGGATGGACTCAACAGCGGCCCCCCCGTAGGCCAAGAAACAACTTCCATTTCTTTTTGTTTGCCAATACGTCATCTCAGTGATGCTACGGGATGTTGGCGGAGGCTTTATGGAGCCTGACGTTTTATGACACGCACAAATCATTACAGGGACACACAAGCGAGAACATCACCTGTGACTCATCACAAGTGCTAACAAACCACCACCGCCTCGACACCGAGACGGCACACAAGCGAGGGAAAGGCGTAAGTGCAGACTTGAGGGGGCTCTGCGAGGAGGGACGTCAGCATGCATGCTGATGGGACTTGAAGCGCATGGCGCAACAGAGCTGCAGAATCCCGAATCCAGCACGATGCAGAATCCGCATCCTTGTTTTGCGGTGATGTGTGGGAGCCTGTGAAACAAGCAGCTCGCACTGCTGCAGTGGAGGAGTAAATGCGGAGCCCAACAGTGCTCCAGGTGATCCACAACAGCCCAGCCCGGCACGCTGCTTTCTCCTCTTGCCTTTCCTTTCCGCCTCCTCCTCCTCCTCCTCTTTTTCCCTCTTCTTCCTCCTCTGTCTATGCTCCATTCCTCCGAGGGCTTTGCAAAAACGGAGCAGAAAAGCAGAGGAGAAATCCCGCTTCCCCATCTCTGTTCTCTGATGTGAAACACCTTCTTGGCTGGCCGCAGCTTCCCAGTCATCGTGTGATGACACACAGCATATGTGCTCCAATGCTTCCGCAACAGAGGCTCGCTGCACGGTAAGACCACGGCTCCTCATTTCCAGCTCTTCAGTTTTTTCTCTTCCGTGAAACTGTTGCAGCCTCAAGTGTGTGAATTGAACAGGTAGATGAGAAGTTGCACAGAGGCTTGTGTGTGTGTGTGTATCTCGATGTATATCCACACCGTGTGGCAATGTAGCCTTTGGTTCGGGTGAAGAGGCTCCTCTATTCATTCACAAGTGTGTGTCCATACGCAGTGTCTGTGTGTGACAGAATCCAACAGGGTGGGAGGGATTGCCCCTCGCCCAGGCTTCTCCATGGGCAACAAGGGGGGTTTTTAGCCCGACTGTCTGGCCAAACAGCTGACCATCATTCTCACTGCCACGCATGTTGCCAACATGATTTGCTCCAAAAGAGCATTGTCTCATTTAACGATATTCAATGATTATGTAATAATTTCTTATCGATTTGCTTTGGCCCAGAGGGGAGGCAAATAACCCACAATCTCAATTAATTGTGACTTGATTTTCATTGACGAGAGGACTTTACGATAAGGAGGCGATGCAGACGGCCACTTCAGGAAAATACACTGATTCATCTGTCCGATTTTGGTTAAGCTGCTGGTTAGCTGGTGTTGAGTGTCGCAGATCAAAGCCTGACGTGACCTCCTGAAGGTTCACCCCCGTATCATTGTATTTGAATTAGTAATGGCCGATAAACTGGGATGCTGCAGTGATATCAAAATCAGGCCTCCTGCTGTTTGAGAGGGCTTCAGGCGTTTCGGATTCCTGTGAGTGGGCGTCTTAGCTAAAACACTTGTGCTATAATTATGCATAAACTGCCCGCAAAAAATAAAAAAAAGAAGTGAAGCTGAACTACTCATGAGCTGAAGCCATCATACATTTGGCTCGAAATGTATGTAGGTTGCAATAGATGTAACGTAATACTTTCTTTTCTTCTTACATAAGCATCAACTTGGTGGTCCCACAGCCACCAGATCGTGACAATCTCAGGATGATGTCCTATTGTGAGTTACTTTTTTGATTTCCACTCCTAACAGACACATTCACTTCAGGGTAAACCAGTTATCAAAAAAAAAAAATCTCCTTAAATATAATGCGCCTGGATAAGACAAAGTGACCAAAGTGTATAAATGAGGTCGTTGCCATACAGAAGCTCTCAGAAGTTAAGTCAGAGCACCCTGGCAGGTTTTACACTACGATGATCCTCCAGCGGCAACACAATCATCCTCCAACGCCTCGTTCAGATAGCTCTGGCACAATGTTGCAGATTCTGTCAAGCGGCCACGAGAGGCTAAAAGGGACTACGACTGCGCGATGCTTGTTGGGATATAGCAAGTACGTGGAAAAGGCTTTCACCAGGGAAGTGATTCCTAACCACATTTGTGTGCCCTGAGAGATCATCTGGTGCGGGAGTGGGAAATCTGTTTGTGACATTTTCGTTAGGGGGGGTTAAAATACAGAACAGTACAAGCTTTGGCTCAATAAAAGCCGGGCAACTTCATTTTCTGAAGTCCTCAATCATCTCTATCAGCTCGAGGTTGTGACACCAGCTACTCTACTTCCTGTCGATAGGCAGACTCTTTGCTGTCGTCGATGAGGTTGGGGGCGGGGGGTCTGTAAATTTCAGGAGTTTGACAGCTGAGCACTTCTGTAAATGTTTCGTGATATTTATTGACTTTCGCTCGGTAGACGTCATGAAGCTTTTAAAGTTGAAAGACGTCAATATATTTGTTTACAATTTTGGGATCATAAATAGAATCGCCGTGTCTTGGCTCTTCTGAGTTCGATGGTAATCGATATTTGTTTTGCAGTGTGATTTTTAGAGGCAATTAAAATGACTAACCACCGATTGTGGTTGATCACAGTTCACCACAATCTACCATTTCCCACGCACATTATCCATCCGTCCAAATGTTTTCTGACCAGTTGGTCTTCGAATGTGTGTTAGAAGTGACAAAAACTGTGTGAAAATAACCCGAATCCTACTTTTCCATTTTGATCCTCGCTAGTCCTCTTCGGAACATTACCATGTTAGGTAGTGAGCAAGGCTGTGTGGGGGCGTACGAGTGAGTGGAAGGGCGAGTTTGAGAGTGTTCAGAGAAGTCCGCTTCACATTTGAAGCACAGCTCATGAT